GATGATTTTGATCATCTCCTTACTATCTGTAGGAGTCCAGTCATGTAAACGGGGCATAGGAGCAGTGTCACCTTCTCCTAAAACCTGTGTTGCATAAAGATTTGTCTCGATTACCATTTCATCTGGAAGTTGCGAAGAAAGAGAGACCTCGGAGTAGTCTTTTGGGTCTGCCAAAGTCCAAAATACCACTGATGTTGGAACCCATTTCACTGGATCCAGTAATCTGAAATACTTTCTGGTTACCTATTTAATCGGTCCATAAAATATTGTCGGATACATCATCATCTGGTTGAGGCGATAATGAAGACTGACTGTCTATATTTGTTTTCAATTGGAGTGATGGGGACCTAGTGCTACCTCTGGATTGAAGTGATGGAGTTATCCTATTTCTATCTGGTTGGGGTTTTGAAATGGAAGCACTATCTCGTAGCATTGCATCATCATGATGACAATAATATGATTCCGATTCTGTCTGGTAATGTGGATCGGCGTCGAAATTATCGAAATCCCTGTTACTTATGTCCTCATCAAGGTATTCCCCTGTTTCATGTATATTTTTGATTCCACTTTTAGAATAAAACCTTTTCGATATTTTCATGTTCATCACTGTAGTCTTTATATACAGTCACTTTTTCACCAACACTTGAAAGCTTCAATCTCTATAACAATAGTACATCGATTTAGGTGCACTTTTGCTCTGAATGAGAAAATGGAGCAAAATCTATCTCTTTCTTCGTTCAAAAATGGATAGATTAGGTTTTAAGCAAGTGCACGTGAATCGTAAAGGGAAGTGAAGTAGAGGACACTGTGGCGCTCGTCAATCTGAAACAAAAAAAGCATTGAAAATATTAAATACCTAAATGATTCACTCGGCCCAAAGGAACAAAATTATTTTTGTTTGCCGAGTGTATATATTGTCTTTATTTCCATGATAACCTACAGTCTAACAACAATTCCTACAACAGTTCAGAAATCTCAAGGGGGAGCTCGCTACTTCTTCCACTCAACCCTTGTCATGTTTAGTTGAATAACTTTTTAATAATTGTCATGCTTATTATACTAACCAGATCTTAGACTATAACTAAACGGTGAACGTTAAAGGAGATCAAGAATGAGAAATAGGTGAAAAGAAAGTCAATGATAATGATGATAATAATGATAATATTAATAATAATGATATTAATAACAAGAAAATAATTGAACATCAATAATGAATGTATATATGAATATGTACAGGAAAGTAACGCTTCTGAATGCCATTATGAAAAAAATCTAATTAATTTTTGAAATGTGCCGAAATAGCTCGCGCATGAATTTTTTTTATGTTCTGGTTCCCACGAAAAGGGATATCCTGTAATGTTCAGAGAACATCGTGGGAACCAAGGGAAATAATGTAGGGATTGGTGTTCTTCTTGAAATTCTGGAGGTTATATGCCTCGGGTAAAACCTTTCTTGGCAATGTGTTCCGTAGCCTCGCTGTTTGTTGGATGAACGAGTCTTTGAAGTGAGATGTTCTGCATGTCTACAAAGTGACCACGAAGAAGTATGAACTCGACGGGTTAATCTCGCGAGAAATCTGATATTCAAGGAGAGCAATGTCCATGAAAATATCTGAAAAAACGAGCCAGATCGCCAACTTTTTCACGGTGTTCCAGAGAAGTGAGTGAGTTTGTGAGCGAGGCATCACCCACGAGACGAATTGCCCTTTTTGGACAGAATCCAACAGTTTCAGGGTATGTTTAGGTACTGCACTCCAAATATGGGAGCAGTATTCCAGGGCAGGTCAGATCTGTGCCTTATCATCAGCAGCTGACTGGAAGTGAGATAGCTCCTGGCCCGAAACAGAAAACCAAGTTTTCGAAATGCACTTTTAGCAATTGATCTCACGTGATTTTCCCAAGTAAGGTTATTGCTGATAGTAATACCAAGCATCGAAATGGATGTCTTCAAAGGTATGGGTACTTCTGAGAAGCTCATGTTGGGAACAGTGAGATCGGCTTTTCTAGAAAAAAGGCATACTTGTGTTTTGTTTGCATTGAATTCTACCAAGTTATTGAATCCCCATTCGAGAATTGTTGCCAAATCATTGGAAAAGAAGATAACAACAGGAGAGAAAGATCAAGGAATCTGCTTGTATTTTTCTGAACAGAGACAGTAGCATTGCTTCCTGTTCAGTTGATGATGATAGAACATGGTATTCAATACTGGAATCTGAAAATGAAAATGGGAAATTCAAGATTAATGAATGGAGAGATCCTGTAAGTAATTTGATTTCCAACGTCATCAATTGTCACTGAGAACTGAGAAATGTCAGGAAAAATACGAATTTGCCATACAACAAATCCATTTTTTATGTTGGAAACGGAAACAGATTCTGTTTTTTTCATTATCATTCAGAATGATATGTGATATCATATATATGAAAGAGAATGCAAATTCTCCAATTCAGAATATTTTATTTTCAAATGCTTATCGTGTATATGTTCAATAGATGAAATTCAATATTCGTCGTGGCATATAGCCAGGAAAGTACTTGTTTTCTGTTGCATAAACCAAGGAAGAATTGATATTTTCATCACATAAAGAATGCAAATTCTCAATGTATTTCTCTATATGCATATATATCAATTTTTTTATATTCATAATAATATTTGGGAATATTCCTATTTCTGTTCAATGGGAACAGATTCGTTTCCGAAACGTCCATAGATAAGTAAAAATTTGATACTTTTTCTATATATACCTTTATTCCTCTTTTCCACACCTTTTTCATACAAATTGTCACTGACAATGAGTTGGTGATTTTTTTTCTTTTAGGCTCTCTGATTGGAAAATTCTTTGAACGCAGTGACATTTTGAGGCGAATCATCTGATTTGTCCTAACTACACGTATATTAGAATAGTATTCATATTCTTATTTCATAGAGACGAAGAGAGAAAACCCGAAATGAATCTGGAATAGTGATTTATCCTCATTTTCCTTCAAATTATGCTCTGATAGCATGCAATTTGCAGACAAGAGTACACAGAGAACAAACAACTTCCGAACATGAAAGAATAATCATTTAAACGTGGCCCTATCGAATCAAGTAACCCAAAACAACAAGAATAATTGAACCTTCGCCAACTGTCGTGAATATTCCATCAGGGCGTGTCTGCAAAAAGTAACAAGTTCATCGGATGGAAAAGATGTCGGCGAATTGTTTTTCCGGATGCGTCATTTGAATATCGATTGAGTCATTAGTGTCCTGCTGATCGATTAATGATCATCCTCCGGTAACTGTTTTGGTGATTTTAATTAGAATGGAACGATGTAGACCTATGAATATTTATTCGACAGAGCTGATTAGAAATGTCTGTTTGATGTCGTACATGTTTAATTTGTAGATGGGCAGATATTTTGGAATCATTTTCGCTGTCAATTTGTCTGATGATTAGAAGATATTTACGATTTGAGTATAATACGGTTTCAAGAATGTTTGAATCAGCTTTAATTATTTTGTGTCTGGAAGTATTTCGAAAGGATGCGTATGGTCAACCCACGCATATAACCATACATGGAGATGATGAAACTAATCAACTGGTAGCAAGTGTCGTAACGAAATTTGATTCTCAGTTTTATTATTGTTCATGTTCTTTGAAAGATGGATTTCCGAAATTATCGGGGGTTCGAAGATATATAAGCAAAGGGTAAATGAACAAACGAGCTCATGAAACCTTATTGAGAAAGAATGATAGATTGAACTAGTGCACTGTATTTTTTTATTATCATTCCTTCTCATTATCCACAATATAGCTCTGATTGTTCACAGTTCAAGAATTTTTACTTTTTATAATGAGATCTCATCTGATTATGAAAAGCTCGAATTTCCTTGCTGCAAGAACAATATTGTTCAAATATATATGATGAGAGAATAACTTGACAATAGAAGAATTTTTTTGTTTCTAACTGAATGATTCTTTCTTCGACCAATACGTACTGTGATAATATAGGAATATCCATTCGAATCGAGATTTATTTTATGAATAAGTCGAAAAAATTCTGTAGAAAAATCCCACAAATATTTGAATGAATAGAATAGATTGAAAAGGAATATTCTCAGATATATTTATGAACACAATTAAAAATGGATATATATGTAATAAAGAATATTCGCATTCTCCATGTGATGAGCATATTATTTCTTTCTATTCAACAGAAAACAATTACTTTTCTGGCTATATGCCACGACGAACATTGAATTACATCTATTGAACACACGATGAGAATTTTAGAGAGAGCATGAGAAATCAAAATTCTCAGAAATTGAAAATTGACATTATCTCTCAAATCGAATAGAATAATATGATGTATCATGATATAAAAATATAACTTACCAATATGTTCAGTATTGAAATGAAAATTGAAATGTATAGGAGAAGTGAATCTGTTTGAACTCTGATCTTGATGAGCAATTCGATCTTCCGGAAAAATTATTCGTATCAGTGATATGGAAATTGTATCTCTCACAAACAGGTTATATGACTCCACTCGAGTAACACTCATTTCGGATATCAAATCCTCATCAGTCACCTGAAGTCGAGTTATTCTCTCCAGCCATTCTTCATGATATACACAATTTTTATATCCATATAATATAACTAAAACTATATCGAACTGACATCTGAGAATTATAATTTGTTGACATTACCACTGTCATCTGGGCATTTGTTTTTGAATGTATGATGAATTGACTTTTTGAAAGTCTCGTCTCGTTGGTCTCGTGTTAATCACTGGACATTTTGAAAGATTTCCTTCAGTTGTTGGGAATTTGTCAAAACATTATCTTCATCACTATGGACTTCATATCACTGATAATCATCGAGTAGGTATCCAACTATCCACCCAAATAACTATTACATAATAATTCATGATGCTTGAGAGCGCAACCATTTTACTTTTACTTTCCACCACACAAGTACCACTCGAATTAAATATGCATTAGTATTAAAAGCTCTCAATGAAGACCCAACACAGGCTGCTATCAACTCGATCCCTCCCAGCTGAAAAAAAAATACACACTCCTAATAGAAAGGTCAAACACAAGAAGAGCATGTGTGTAAGTAGTTGTGTTCACCATCCTGCAGCGCCTGGCATCAGCATTAGCATAAAGAGTTGGTAACGCCGAATAGGCCATAGGATAGATCTCTAGATTAGGCTCTCTACATAATGACCGTTATTAAGATGCATTAAGGTCGTACAGCTTGTATAATATTTTAATTGATGCGAGAACAGTGGCGTTCTGGTTTGACGTTGAGAACGGTAGCTACTTTGCTACTGCTGCTGAAGTGAAACAAAACTTAGTCAACTTAATTCCAAGATCTACAAAGCAATATTTGCCTTACGCACGATACAGATGAATACAAATAAAGAAGTGGCCAAGATAACGCATATTTTTACAGCCTCTGTCACCTAAAGGAAGAACTCAGGAAATGGGAAGAAATTGAGAAGTTCTCCTACTGGAGAGCAACTCCAGGTCAACGACAAGCGAAAAGGGTTCATCAACCTTTCGCAGAACCGAGCCAAAGAGCTACTCAGCCTCAGCAAACCAGAGCTAAAGCTCATCATAGGCTTTCTCACAGGACACGGCCCTCTGAGGTACCACCTCGATCTAATCATCAATTATACGTGTATACCAAGGTTTATACAGTTTACTGAATTGAACGATCTTTTAATGAACCTCATCAAATTATGGCTCCATGTAATAATATATAATTCAGTTCATGGAAGAATATCAACAAGCTTGCTGAGGTCATTCATGAAATTGTGAATGCCTCCCAGACAGTATTTCCTTCAGGGAGGAAAAAACATAATATCCCTTCTGCTTAAGAAAGAAGGCACCTTCTTTGGACGATCTAACTTCACTTGGTCATACTGAATCTTCTTCCTGAAAAGAATATCGTCAGGAAATCACTAGAGGAGACAGATCAAAGAATACCGTCCGTCGCCAGCATTGAACCCGGTTCGCTGGTGTGGATCTCATATACTCGAGCAACTACGCCACTACTCCACGAACGCACATACCTCATACTCATACTGTGGCGTTAGTTAGTTCTTCTGACGTCAGTATAAACAACTGACGAATTTGCGTCGTGTTCTGATTGAAGCATTTCTTTGAGAATTGTAGAAAAAATTGAAAATTCAGAGGAAGTCTCTGTATCTTCTCACATCGTGATAAACGTGATAGTCATAATTCCAGATTTTTGGGATTTTTTCTCCTCATCTCTATAAAATGGAAATATGAATATTATCACAATATACGTGTAAGTAAGGACAAATTGAATAAGAGAAAATTTGATATTTTTTTCATATACCTTTATTCCTCTTCTCCATACCTTTTTCAATTCAAATTGTCACTGACAAGCTAGTGAATTTTTTTTAAGGCTATCTGATAGGAAAATTCTTGAAACGCAGTGCCATTTTGGGGCAAATCATCTGATTTGTCCTCACTACATGTATATTGGAATAAAATTAATATTTTCATTTTATAGAGACGAAGACAGAAAATCCCAAAAAATCTGGGATAATGAATGTACCACTTCCCCAATTAACCTACAGACAGCATTTAAATGTGATAGTATTCTAGAATTGAGTGTTCTTGCATATTGTACCATTTTTCACGAACAGAAATACCGATGATAGAAACAGGAGAGTTTTTATGCTAGAAATAATGATGTGCCCACAACATCCCTATGTAGAAACTGGGCCTCGAATTCGAAATACTATTCTGTCTGAGAGGCACATCCTCCTACGATATTAGTTTTATTTCGCGTAAAACATGTTATCTCGAGGATCGTAACAAACATGTTTGTTATGCGAAGCATGGAAGGAAGGTGAATAACTTAATCTGCATCTATCTGAAAAAACTGCCACTCCTGCAGTCTGCATTTCTAGAAGGAAAACATATTTTTCGTTAAAGAAAATTCCACCTTTGCTTGAGATATCTGTGCTATATCAGACATCCTCAGTTGGAAATCTCTGTCTCCGTTATATTTTTCATGTTTTCAATGAAATTTGAAAAAGAGGATGAATGGCGCGGCTACTATACGTAATTGTTCACAAATAGTTTGAAATCTAACATGTTCAATTATTCAAAACTACCAATATGAAGAGACAGAAAGATATGATGAACAATATAGAAACCCATATACCTATTTAAGAATGATATTCAATAAAGTCCTCTATGAAGATTATTTCTGATGAAATAAAAGGACGATTTACCTCGTAGAATGACTATGAGTTTTATCCAAATTGTTGTTTTCATGATTTTTCTATATTCTATATTCATTCCTTACACAGAGAAAAACGTTTCTTTGCGTGAAACAATCTCATTTGTTTGACTTATATTTGTTTGCAAGAAATAAATGTTATTTGCGAGAAACAGTTGTTATTTCTTAAAACCAAATCAGATTCTTTGTTTGAAATCATCGGTTCATTTGAATGACATTTGTTTGGGTGAAACAATAGCATTTGTTGAAAATATATTTATTTCGAAGAAATAAATGTTACTTGGAGTAAATAAATATTATTTTGAACAGAAATATCACATTGTTGGCGAGAAATAATTTTGATATAAATATGAACAATTGATATTGTTGTCATGCACAAACAAAGAATTTGTATTTAAAAAATATATTTGAACAGAGCGAGTGTGTCATTCATCTCGAATAAATGCGCTTATTGAAATTACATTATAGAATTGTTCTTTTGAATGACAGCACAATTTATAACAAAATATAGTAATTTTTGGTCCAAATCAAATATTGCTTTGATTATATGCGCTTGTTTTTGTTGTGTAGTCGAATGTTCGCATGATTCTCGCATGATTGGGAAAAGGAGAATCCAGATCCAGAAAAAGTAAAAACAACTGACTTATTTTCTTCTACCAAAGTAGAATCGACGATGCCCATGGCTGAAAAAACCACCAAACCAAAACTTAAAGTCTTAATTATTATTGTTCAGTTCGGTGGCGTGACTTGTTTCTATAATATCCAAAATAAGAGTTGCCAGATCTGACAACAAATTAGGCGCTTTTGTCTTTGGGTGGTCAATGGCTTTTTGACATGATTTCAAGAATTGATGTTTTATGGCTGGATCTCCTGCAAACCCAACATGAAGTTGTATCTTTACTCGAGCTGAATACCTATTCTGGATATGACTGATACGCAATTTGAAGCAAAATTTTGAACCTGAGATGCTCGGTCATCAAGTATTTTTGAAAAACGGGTAAACGTTCAGTCAGCAAACTTTAATGTTGGTCTTCGAATTATATTTCCCTCACCTTTGGACTCGCCTGGCACCTACTTCTCATCAAAACCGTCTGTCAATTCGTATCTTTTTTCTATACAATGTCTAATTGACATCATAATATAATTTCAGGTTTACAGCGGCAAGTTAATTTTTCAAATCATTTTTACACTTGAAAAATTAAGGAGATGATGACATGCAAGGGCTAGACCTTCATCCTATAAAAATTTCTTGTTTTATACAGATAATAGAAAAGGTTTACGAGCTCTCCGGCTCCATCTGGCAACCCTGTCTGAAACGTATACAATATACAACTACCTGGGGCCGTATTCTCGACAAGTGAGCTTTTTGTCGTATACGCATCAAAACGAATGGTTCATGTGCGAGTACTTCTCCAAAGTGGTATTCTTGACAACCACTCGATTCGCAAAACGTATACGCTGGAAAACGTGCGATCGTGATGCGATCAGAGCATCCGGCACCACTGTAATATTTCACGAAAGTCGTAAATTGGTCCGTTAATTCACGTTCTGTGAATTATAACATCTGTCAATGTGAAAAATAACCGGCAAAGATTCAAATTCTTTATATTGTTTATATTGCGACTGCTGTGTGCAAGCAACCTTTATTCCACCCTCAATCTTATATTTGAATAATAAATATGTCGTCTCAGCGAGAAAAAAAAAGTCAAATAACAGAAAGTCAGAAGAACTGCCTCATTGAATTTTTGAAAAGAAACCCGAATCTTCAATCTGGTAAGTTTTCCAATCAGTTCACATTCAAAGACGCTCAAAGGAAATGGACTGAAATAGGTACTATACTCAATAGTATGCCGGGTGCTACCAGAGATTGGAAGGGTTGGAGAAAGGTAACATATATATGACTCCAGTGATCCATTTAATGTAATTATTATATACCTACCTATGTTTTAGACTTGGCAAGACCTGAAATCCAGGACGAAGTTAAAAGTGAGCAATAAAAGAAAGCATGTCAGAGGAACAGGTGGTGGACCCCCAGTCGAAGAGGAATTGTCTAAACTTGAAGAAGACATAGTAGACATTGTAAAAGTGGTTTCCATCAAGGGTCATAAGGAAGCTTCTGAATCAGTAGTCAACTTCAATTTTTCTGATGATGAAAATTTTTTAGAGAATTCAGATGATCAACAAAATGAAGTATTGATAATAGAAGGACCATCTGCAGAAAATGATGGACAGGTTCCAGGAACTTCCAGAGAACCTGTCACAGAAAACAGAAAGGCGGAACCTACTTCAATTGAAGAACCAATTCCGAAGAAAAAGAAATCTTCAACTCTGAGGCACACTATTGATGCAGTGAATGACTTCAAAGTAGGTATGGATACAAAGATAGGGATAAAAAAAAAATATTACAGTGAAAAGATTGAACTGATGAAAAGGATTACTATTGCAAAAGAAAGGAAAGCAGATGCTTCAGAGAGAAGAGCTAATGCAGAGGAAAGGACTGCTTCTGCCTATGAGAGAATTGCTATGGCATTAGAAAGTTTTTCTGAAAGCATACTGTAATATGGGTCTACAATCTGTTATAGTTGCACTATTATTTACTATTTATTTTTGGAATGTATAGTACAGGCCACAGGGTGATTCACCATAAATATCCCCCCCCCTCTAGCTCAGTTATTTTTGAACCGATTTCAAAATTTGAAATATCATCTCAAATGATTTTCGATAAAGTTTTTTTTTCGCTACATCAGAAAATACAGGGTGCTCGGAACAAACGGTCTACAGGGTACTATTTGATTTTTTTCAATATAACATCCTATTTTTCATTGTATTTTTAGATTCTCCCTGAAGAGCTGATTTGATCGATGTATCACACTTGGGGTCTAGCGGGAATGATTAGAGAGATATAGGGTGTTCAAAATCGAGATTTTTCAACTTTAAGATTTTTTGTGACGAAACTATTCATTACCGGTCAAAACTGCTTTCATGTCCGTATCTCAACTTTTGATTTACCATCTACTGACATTTGATAATTGGAACAGATACAGGGTGATCAAAATTCTGAATCTTGAACCGCACTGTATATGTTCCAGTTAAATGTCAGTATAGATAGTAAATCAAAAGTTGAGATAGGGACATTAGAGCCGTTTTGATCAATAATGAATAGTTTCGACACAAAAAAATCCTGAAGTTGAAAAATCTCGATTTTGAACACCCTATATCTCTGTAATCATTACCGCTAGACCGCAAGTGTGATATATTGATGAAATCAGCTCTTCAGGAAGAATCTAAAAATACAATGAAATACAGGGGGTTCCATTTGAAGAAATCAAGTAGTACTCTGTAGATCGTTTGTTCCGAGCACCCTACCCTGTATTTTCTGATGCAACGGGAAAAAATTTTCTCAAAAACCATTTTAGATTATTTTTCAAATTTTCAAATCGGTTCAAGAATAAGTGAGCTACAGGAGGGAGGCATTTATGGTGAATCACCCTGTACCTAGTATGAATGTTATTATTTGTTATGAAAAGGAAATTATATTTTTTTGTTATTATGTGGCATAGGTATGGATTTTTTTCTATTGTTTTTTTTTTTCAATAAATATATCTTACCATTACAGATCTGTTTAATTCAAACCAAAAGAATAAAATACTTATGTATATTCACAAATATTCAAATATATCACTCAGCTTCTAGGTTCTGTATTATGGTTGAGCGTAATCTTCTACCTGCTGCCAATTCTGGATTGATTCTTTGAATATTTTCCTCATTGTCTCCAATATGTATAAGAGGGGCATATATTCCTAAATCAGCCTGTGCAATGTCATCATCATCATCATCATCTGGTTCAGGAACATTATGTTCAATACACAGATTATGGAGCACAACACAAGAATTGATAATTTTGCTGGCCTTTTCTGGAGCATAATGAAGAACCCTGTGTTTTAAAAGACAGCGAAATCTCATCTTGAGAATTCCATTACATCTTTCAATTAAGCTCCTGATTGCTTTCTGTTTCTTATTATAAAAGTACTCAGGAGTACCTTCTGCTGGCTCATTTTCCAAAGGAGTCATCAACCATGTTCTCAGTGGATATCCAGAATCACCTAAAAATAAAATGAATTGAATTAGTCAAAAAAATCCTTCACAGATATAAATAAAATGAATAGTTTAATCATCAGGTACCTAATATATAATTATTTATTCAATAGAATATAGAGTGATTAGCTTGAATTGATGAAAAAAACATATATACATAGCAGTGATAAATCCTACCTAATAAATAATAATTAGTATTTCCAGCTTCATGTAACCTCCTCAGCATTGTTTGGACATTAGAACTATTCCATATAAATGCATCATTTGTACTACCAGGAAACAGAGCATTCACATTCAAAATTTTCAAATTGTAGTCACAAATTAATTGTACATTTATTGAATGGTAGTTTTTTCTATTCACATAGATATTTTCAGGATATTCATCATCATGTACTATTGGAGGATAAATAGCTACATGAGTGCAGTCAATACAGCCAATTACGCCTGGAAAATTATATCTTCTATAGAATCTGTAAAACACAAAGTATATAATCACTTGAATAAAGCCAATTATTATAATTTTGAATCTTACTCTGTTCTTAGCTGATTCAACTGGTCAATGTTGGCAGGAAATTTGACGAATCTTTGGAAAATTTCAACTCGGTTCAATACTCCAACAATTTCGTTCACACATCTTGAAACAGATGGTTGGGACACAGAAAAATTGAAATTGCAGCCTATGTCCATTTGGTAACTGCCAGATGCAAAAAACCGTAAAGAAACTAACACCTGCAAGAAATCAATGAATATCGAGAATAGTATTAATCAGATTTTACTCTAACTGAACTGGTAAACAAAATAATTTGTATGTATTCTGTGGTAGGTTATTACTCACTTTTGTGGAGATATCCAAATCTTGAGCACGATGTGCAGGTGTAATGTACTCAGAAGTAATATTGATTAAATATTGAACCAATTCTTTGGAGAGACGGAACATTTTGATGAATTGTTTGTCACTCAAATCATCAAAAGGATTTCCACGCTGTCGATATCTTCGCCTATCCATCTGTTCAGCATCTTCCATTGCGTCAATCAACATTAACTGTACAATTTCCTCTTCCATTATGTTTTAATGTTATAACCTTTTTATTCAGATAATATGAAACTCACGAAATATTTTAAGAGTCCGCAATGATGGTCCTTCAATATAAAATATGAATAAACAACAAAAATATTCAATGACACACGTCACAAGTCAACAAAACGAACGAAAACATACAAAACGAGTAAAATAAAGCGCTCGCTGTAAACGCTCGCTTTGAAAACGTACACGCCTCAAATTTCACTGGTCAAGAATACCAAAACGTACGAAACTCTCGAAGTGCGCATACGCATCAAAAGTTCACTCGTCGAGAATACGGCCCCAGACCCGCAATGATGATGTGGTTCGCCGGGTCGTATCGTACAGTGGTGATTCAGTATAGTTAATTCCACAGCATATTTACAGATTTTCACTATTTTCTTAATGTGTAGTGATGGATTTTTCAGAAGAATGGCATTTGGGTCATCTGGTCCCAATTTTCAGAGGTAAGGAATTGTAATTCATACTTGAAAATCGGAATAATGGCGTGAAATTTTTTATGATTTGTTGATTATCTGATGATGTTTTCATACCGATCACCATCAAAAAGACAAACCGTGCAATTTGGTAGGTCATAGAAGGATGTACGAATAGGTAGGTAGGTAGGTATATGTGTGATATTTCGTAGATAAGTATACTTTCTAATCTGCTGCATATTGAAATATTCCAGTGAAATGGCGTTCAAATTCTTCTATGATTTTCAATGGAAGATTCCATGCAGTCAAATAAATATTTCTTGTATTCAAATGTCACCAGCTTCACTTGAAACAAAATATTTGTTTCCGTGAAACAAATGATAATTAACTGTTTTGATTCTATGTTAGCATCTTCGGGAGAATATTAAAACTCAGGAATCACCCCTTGAATTTTTTCGGTGTTATTTAGATATACCCTGTATAAGTATTTTGAGATATCATGTAACTATATAGAGAACATAATCACTAGAACAAAAATTATCACAGCCCTTTTCTTCATATGAAAAATTGTCATCAATGCACTTCAATGTTATGGAATTTTTATTTCCTTGTTATGCATATATTTCATCTATTCCCGCATTAAAATAAACTAAACTTTCAGGAGAGCAATAAGAAATCTGCTACGTCTGTCATTGATGTGAATACTCCAGTGATTTCCGAAAACATTTTTATTGATGCTGATGCACCGGATGATAGAGCCGATGATCCACCTGCCAAATATTCGAGGTTGGATACAAATAACAGCGATCAACCTGCTTCAGGATCATCATGTATCTTGACTTCTGTATTATCGTACCCAAACAGTGTGTCTGTCACATTTTTTCTATTATTCAATAAAGTTTGTTATAGTTCAATTTTGTTGTTAATTCACAATTCCTTCCAAGAGGAGTATTGTTTTCTAAGAAATGAATTTCTTCTTCGGAAGATTCTATTTCTTTGAGTTTATTAATTTTTGATTTCTTACAAATCTACAATTTATTTCTGGTAAGGAAATCCATTATTTGAGCTTGTTTCTTCCAAACAATTTCCTTGTTTTTCTCAAGCATTGACATCTTTGAATCAAATTACATTTACATATATTTATTTTTCACAAATAATCATTTGTTTCTTCCAAAGAATGTCCATGTTTCTGTCAAGCTCTGATTTCTTTGAAACAAATTTCATTTACATATATTTATTCTTCACAAACTATTATTTATTTCTTCCAAATAATTTCCTTGTTTCCCTCAAGCTTTTATTTCTTTGATGCAAATTATACTTATTCACTATGAATAATTCTGATCATGAATCCAAAGGAATAGTTTTGATTCAAACAAATAAACACTTTCTTCCAAATTATGAATCATATCATTTTCAATAAATTATAGAGATACAAAAAAATCACTTATTTGAAAAATCAAAAGAATGGAAACTTTGATTCAACCAAGCTTGTTTGTTGGACCTATTCAAACTTCGGATTTCTTTGAATTTAAAAATATTTGTTAAATTCAAAGAATTGTTTTTCTCTGTGTATATAAAACGTTCAAGGCTCCGGAAAATATGAAAGGATAATATAATAATTCAGAGAAAAGTCGATTTATCCAACTCAAGTTTGATAAGGATATCAAGCACAATATCAACTTCGATCACAACTCAAACCACTATCACTATTCACAGATCTTTGCACTACTTGCTCAAGACTGACATAGAAATGATTCCATTTCCTGAACTCCTTTTATTCAAAGGTGAGGTACCTCCTCGTTTATTCACCTTGCCATCAGCGACTCATTTGCTCTGATATCTTTCTCAGTTTTCTTGTTATTTAATGAAATTATACTTTGCCTAACAGATGTTTGACCTGAATGTTCAATTATCATCAAATCTCCATTCGAATCACGAACAATTCAATCCAGAATTTCATTACTAGT